TGCTAAACGAGAGAATAGAGTAGGTCATGCGATGGGGAACCCATGAGTGATGAGTAGAATCATCACGATTAGTGGGAGCTTTGTGATCTTCCAGCCGTGCCTCCGGTAAGATGAGGTTGTGACACACTCGAGAGAGAGAGAATACACTCACGTGGCCAAGGGTTCCGAATCCATGCATAACTGAGTCCGATCGGCAGAGAATGAGTTAAGGTCACAAGTAGTGGGAGCTTTATGATCTTCCTGTCGTGCCTCCGGTAAGATGGGGCCGTGACACTTGAATGAGTATTGGTCACGTAGAGCAGGATTGATTCTCGGCCGTGTCTTCGGTAAGATGAGGCCGTGACATTCAAGTGAAAAAGAATGAGCAAACATGAGAAAGAACAAAGAAAGAATGAGTAGTGTCACAAAGAGTGGGATGGTGCTTTGTGAACTCCACCCGGCCCTGCCTTCGATAAGATAAGGCTGTGACATATAACAGAAAGTTAATAGAACGAGCTATGTGAAAGAGAAACAGAAAGAGAAAAGTGTAAGGAAAGAATTAAGAGAAAGAGTTACGGGGATAGATGAGTAGAGGATTTACTTACTGAGTCTTTTTGTGCTCACCCTATTGTTTCTATGTGTTTTGCAGGATCTAGGTGAGGACGTAGTTGGATGGACGTTGGCAAGCGAAGAGAAATAGTCACACTGTCTACCACTTTTTGATGACTTGTATATGATACTTTATTTTGTGTAAAGTATATGTATATTTAATGAAATAAAAATTTGGGCCCATCTAATTATGTTATTATACATGTTTTTTATTATATGTATTTCTATGAGTATATGAGTAGAAATGAGTCATTACAATTTCATTATAGGAGTATATTATATTAATGGAAAGAAAGATCATCTTGAAGATTATTTGAAATGTTTAAAAAATGTGTTTGGTTGATTCGAATAAATTAGTGAATAATATGTTTGGTTAAGAGGATAAATGGGTGGGTATGTTATACAGATTACTAAATTGCCCTGTTTTTAAATATTAATATAATAGTATTTTTTTATTATTATTTTTTGAATTATTTCTTTTAACCTCCTACATTTGAAATTTTGCTAGAACACCTCAACCATATAAAACTTTAATTTATAGCAAAATCACCCCCACCCACCCCAAGCCACTACCGGCAACCAACCACCACCGTCGGCCGCTGTCGGTAGTTGACAGAATGGCGCACGAGTGGCTATATATGGCTAGCCATGCGCCGACAAAGCTAGAAATGGCCATGAATCACAAATCTATGGCTGAAAAACGGCCATAGAAACGCTAGATCTGGTCGTTTCTGGCCGTAGGAAAATGCCTTACTATAGCACGATCAGCAAGATCCCGTTGGTCATGCACCATTAGAGCAACTGACGCTAGTGGCCGACGATGGTGAGTCAGGGCCAAAGTGGTCTTGGATGGCTAGGGGTATTTTGTTAACTTTTAAACTTTTTGTGGTTGGAGTGTTTTATCTAATTTCTCAAATGCAGGGGGGTTGGGTAATTGTTATTTGGTAGACATTTGAAGACAATTGTATCCGAAATGATTTTTAATTAAAGACAAAATGGGGAGAAAAATCAAATTACTTCGGTAATGTTTTAATGACACCCCTTAATAAGATAATAAGATTTCCCCCCACATTACCAACAATAAACACTATTTGCAATAAAAGATTACGGTAATATTTTATTACTTGTAAAATAAAATTATATATACAAATCAAAGGATTTGTTAATTATACTTAAAGAAAATAAAAACTACAAATAATTTTATGGAAAATTTTAAAATATGAAAATTAATGTTATTTATATTATTTTGTATATTTAATATATTAAGTATTAACTCATGTATTATTAAACAAAAAAAAAAAAACTTATTGGTTTGTTTTTATGGTTGAAACTAATCTCTTATTTAATTGGTAAATTAACTATTTATCGACTTAATTAGGGTTTTTTTATTACTATTATGTATTATAATCAATATGGATGCGGTTATTTAAATGTTGAATGACATTGATTATCAAAAACTAATGATAAACTTATAATGTTTGATGAGTTGCTAGATTCGAACGTTACTATTTTAATTTTGAAACAATTTTAAGGAGTAATGTTTATATTTGAAAATGATTTTTGAATACAATATTAAACTTAATCTTAAATATAAACAATTTTATGATTAACAAAAACCAATAATGATAACTCGATCCATAGGTGGCTTAACAGTAAAAGGGCGTTTGAATCATATAATGTTTTATTATAAGGGTATATTATTTTAACCGAAAGAAATATCACATTGAAGATTATTTGGAATGTTTAGAAAATTTGTTTGGTTGGTTCGAATAAATTGGTGAATAATATATTTGGTTGAGAGAATAAATGAGTGGATATGTAATATAGATTACTAAATTGCCCTCATTTTTAAAAACTAATATAATAGTATTTTTTATTATTATTTTTTGAATCAATTTTTTAACCCTCTACATTTGAAATTTTGCTAAAACACCCTAGTCATATAAAATTTTAATTTGTAGCAAAATCACCCCCACCCATCCCAAGCCACTACCAGCAGCTGTTGATAGTCATCAGAATGGTACACAAGTGGCTGTATATGGCCAGCTGTGCACTGACAAAGCCAGAAATGGCCATGGATCACAAATCCATGGCTGAAAACGGCAATGGAAACGGCAGATCTGGCTGTTTCTGGCTATGGATCTGTGATCCATGACTGGAAAAGGCTTTACCGGAGCACGACAGGCAAGATCCTGCCGGTCGTGCACCATTAAGGTGACTGACATTGGTAGCTGGCGACGGTGAGTCACGGCTAGACCTGGGAAAATAGGTTTGGACCTGCGGGTCGACCCTAAATCCGGATAAAAAATATAGGGTGTGGGTCTTTAATATTAGACCCGTTTTTCTTCTACTCGTACCCGGCCCAACCCATTTTGCCAAGGGGTCAAGCGAGTACACCCGCGGGCACCCGTTTGCTTTTCCCCTTTTCATTTTGCAGGGATACCCTAAATTCTAAATTGGGGTTTGACCATGTTTTTGCCCCAAATCGCAAAATCCCTAACTCTCTCAAATTCATCGTCGCTGCTTCTCCTGTCTTCATTTCTCATCAGCATAAAAGGACTCTGTAAATAAATCCAACAACAAAACAAAAACATAAATCACACAAATTCAAAAATCCAAAGGAAAAATTCAATCAAACAAAAACAAAAATCCAAAAACCCAAAGGAAAAATTCAATCAGACCTGTCCAGGTAAAGTGCCATCAAGATCCTTCAAAGTTGGACGAAACTTGTGCATAAGCCAATTGGTTCTCTTCCCCTTTAGAGCTCGTCTAGTATGAAACACAAGGGTCTTCTGTGCGTCGTTCGTCACTGTTGTTTTGGCAAGGTGTCATTTGTTCATTGGCAGATGATTAACTATATCTGGTGATGCGGTGGAGGATGCATTGCGGCCTGCGGGGCAGCAGGTGGCATGTGGGACGTGGGGAGTGGAAGTGGAGGTGATTAAAGTCAGAGTTAGGTTTTGGTTGGGATGAAGACTGAAGAGTGGAGAATCTGCGGCAGAAGTTTCAAAATCTAAACAGTAAAAGAGGATACTCAGATCTGTTCAATCTTTGCCTGTTTGCAGAGTCAATTCATTCTCAAACTGTTGCTTTTCTTCTATAAATTTTTTCTTTTTTCAGATTTTTTTATGTGGGTTTATTTGGTTGATGAGGAATGAAAGGACAATCAATAAAGTTTTTTAATCTTTTTCTTTGTTAGGTTCTGGGTTTCTGTTTGGCTGGTGAGAAACCTTGGGAGAAAACGTGGGTTTCTTTTTTCTGTTTGGTTGGTGACAAATTTTGCTCAAAAATGAAGATTTTAGGAAGATTTGGGGGTGTAACTGCAAAAATCTAAAACTGGAGTGAACAGTACGGGCACCCTCGGGTCCACCCATACTCGTATAGGGTAGGGTGCGGGTCCAAAATATTAGGCCCGTTTAAATCGACCAGTTTTGGGCCCGTACCCGTAAGACCCGCACCCGTGAGACTCGACCCGCACCCGGCCCACCCGCCCATTTTGCCAAGTCTAGTCACGGCCTAGGGTGGCTAGGGGTATTTTATTAACTTTTAAACTTTTTTGTGATTGGGGTGTTTTAGCTAATTTCTCAAATATAGGGGGGTTGGGTAATTGTTATTTGGTAGACATTTGAGGACAATTGTGTCCAAAATAATTTTTAATTAAGGGTAAAATGGGTAGAAAAATCAAATTACTTCGGTAATATTTTAATAACACCCCCTAATAAGATAATAAGATTACCCCCCACATTACCAACAATAAACATTATTTACAATAAAAGATTACTGTAATATTTTATTATTTGTAAACTAAATATCGGAATCTTACAAAATAAACAAACATTATCTCTGTTATCTTATATACCTCTAATCCAAACGCCCTAAAGGTGGGCTTCAACTCTCGGTGCAATACATTTGTTCACATTTATTCATAATTTATCTAGAGGGCTGCGACATACACATTGGTTAATTGCATTAGTGGGAACATTTTATTTCATTATCAATGATGTTGACATAGGTTAAAAAAAACACTTAAAAAGGGTAAAATTTAATAGGAAACATTATCAATTAAAACTTGTAATTAAATGTAAATTTATAATAGTTAATATATAAAAAATGGGTTGTGTTAAAAGAACTTTTCAAAGATAAAATCACAAAAATATAAACTATTCGGGTATTTTTGAATAATATTTTAAATGAGTTGAATATTTATAAAAAAAAGTTCTCAAATTGTAATTATTTTTCATATGTATTATCAATTTATCACATTAAGCACCGATACCTAACCACATTTACACTCCTAATAGTATTTGTTGACTTAATATCAAACATTTGTGTGGGTAAAGTATTAACAGCCACGTGGCTTCATCCGAACCCTTGGATTGAAATCCTTCTTCAAATAACATTTCAACTTCTCTCTTAAACTCTAAATAATTAACATTTTCCCCCCAGAAACAATAAAATCTCTCAAATCTCAATCCATTTGTCTCGTTGACATGTCTTCCTCCGGCGGAATTGGTGGCGCCGCCGCCGCGGCACCACCACCACCTTCTCAGCCACAGATGTATTACTGTCACCAGTGCGAGCGCACGGTCAGGATCACTCCGTTTTCTTCCATAGAACTCGCTTGCCCCACTTGCAACGGTGGCTTCCTTGAAGAACTCGAAACTAACCCTAACCCTAACCCTAATTCCAATTCTAACCATCCTTTCGATGCCTTCTTCTTAGACGATCTCAATACGCTGTTGGGTATGGGTCCCACTCCGACTCGGCCGTCTTTCACAGACTCGGCCGAATTCAACCCCTTCGTTTTTCTCCAAAACTATCTTCAAACCCTGAGGGCAGGTGGCGCGAATATCCAGTTCGTCATCGAGAACAGCTCCTCAATGGACCCCACCGGTGGAGGGGCGGCGTTTCGGCTCCCAGCGAATCTCGGGGATTACTTCATCGGGCCGGGCCTCGAGCAGTTGATCCAACAATTGGCGGAGAACGATCCCAATCGATATGGGACGCCTCCGGCTTCGAAATTGGCCATTGAGGGGCTGCCAAATATCAAGATATCGGAGGATTTGATGGGCTCGGAATCATCTCAGTGTGCTGTGTGTAAGGATAGTTTTGAGTTGAATGAAGTTGCGAAACAGATGCCTTGTAAGCATATATATCACTCAGATTGTATTATGCCTTGGCTTGAGTTGCATAATTCGTGTCCTGTTTGTCGGTATGAGTTGCCTACGGATGATCTTGATTATGAGCAAAGGCGTAATGGGAATAATAATAACAATAATATCAGTAACAATGATAGTACTGTTAATAATAACAATAATCAGGGTTTTAGTGTTGGGTTTGGTGGTGGGATGTCTGCTGCTGGTGATGGTGTTGGTGGTGGTGGTGGTGGTGGTGATGGTGGGAGTGGTGGAGGGAATCCTGAGACTCCAAGGACCATGGAGCGGAGGTTTAGTATCTCCTTGCCGTGGCCATTTAGGGCGTTTGGTTCGCCTGCAGGGACAAGCAGTGGGAGTGGGAACAATGATGGAGATTCAAACCCAGGGAATAGGGGTTCAGAGCCCAGACAAGAAGATCTTGATTAAGAAGGATCTTTGGTATTGTGCTTTTAACCTCTTAATTTGCTTGCTCTATTTTATTTTATTTTGTTTGGTTTTGGTTAGTTTGTTCTATTGATTCGCTGTGGGTTTTCTGTTCTCTATGTAAATATGGTTCCATTCTTTTTTATTTTGGAATGTTGGTGGGTAGAGAGTGATACTGTAGTTTTATTTATTTTGCTTGTGTGAGGATTACTTCATAAATTTGCGGCTAAGTGTTCGCCTGTGATTGATATATTATATTTGAGTTCTTTGGGGCAATTCTCTTGTGATTATGCATTTTTTGTTGAAGTTGTGTATGTGTATGTCTTTCTCTCTTAAAATAAACAATTCCATTTTACCATTTTCTGGTGGATATGGAAGGCTTAAGAGGTTGGGTTTTTGAACTAGGGTTGGGAGCTGCTTATGTCAGGAGTAAGATTTTGAATGGCTATCTCTGGCGTTTGTGTTTGTGTAAATCATTCTTTATGGTGTTTGGTCTAATGGAGTTAGAGGTTGTGTTTGCATTAATAATTCTATGTTTATAGGGTTTGGTCTAATGGTTTCGACTGGAGGGAGCTTCATCTTTAGAAATTGCAGAAGATCAGTGTAATAGTTTTTCACACATAAACTAGAGATGTAATATAAATTTTATATGAGAAGACCAGTTGCTGAAGTTTAGCCCTCTTTGCTAGTATGGAAAGGAATGTGGCTAGGCTAGGTGCCCTTTGTCCTGATATGGAACTGATAATCAGTTCGACCACTGTGAGTTGCACAAGCTTAGATTATGTCTCTACAACTGTAGACATCCAAATTGGATGATGTCTTATGATTATATGTTGTGATATGGGTTTGTTCTGCCGTTTGGCATTTTAGCTAGCCTAATTTTGTATCATCTCTCTCCCTTTTTTTTTTTTTTTTTTTTGTAGGCCTTTTTGGTTTCTTTGACAGTATGTCCTCATTCATGTAGCATCTGGTGCTCTTGTAAATCTAGCTTCTTTTTAGTTTACTCCTGTAAGGCCAATACTTTGATTCTTGTATGTCCAGTCTATTCTTACTGCTGCTGTCCCTTCTGTGAGGAAGGGACAATATCTTCTTCTTTTGCTGTAGTTCAGTTTCTTATCAAACAGAAGCATACCCTCTGGTGCTGAAAATGTAGAAACTTTTCATCAATAAATTATAGTGAAATGTACTTCCAGAAAAAGGAAAAAAAATATAATAAAATTGTAACCGAGGAGCTACTATATAACCAATATTATCCTGTAATAGTCAAAGGTTCATTGCTGACCCAGTGAAATGATAGTGAACGTGTACAGGAAGCTGTCAATATTTTTGTTTGTCAATTGAGAACATGTGGCTCAAAATATGATCTTGCCATTTACAAAACCTATTCATGTAACTCAAAATTCTGCAAGTGCCATAGCGTTGTGGTTTTATCTTTGTCAGTCTCAAGATTGAAACATGTTTAATATACCACTTAATACTGTTACAAGATTTGAAGGCACATATCAATCTTTCACCTATTGCACTTTTTGTCTCAACATGTAGTTATTATCATCAAGATGAAGAGAGGATATAAACAGCTTCATTGTATAATCTGCAATTCTTTGACTCAAAATTATTGTTTCAACATTTACTCAATGTTCTTGATCTTTCTTATATCTGTAGTCCTTGCATAGGTTTTAGGTTTAGCGTCAATAGCTATGGCCGCAGGTTTAAGTGGCAGCTTTACTAACAGAAGTTTCTTGATTGTTCTCAACAGGCGTTTCTGATCTGTCTCACTGTAGGTTTGATAGATTACTATAAGGTTTCATCGTTCTAGAATAATCTAGCAAAAACTTTGAATGGACCTTGCATCTCCTTCTAGAGCTTCTTTAGATGATTCGAGCCCTTTAATCTGTCTGGAAATCTGCTGAAATCAGTCCTTCCCATCAATCATGCTAAGCTTTATCTTGGTCACATCCAAATTCTATCCTTTTCATGGTATCTTCAAACTTATTTCTCTCTGTGTCAAAAGTAGTGGGGCTGCATTTTGCGTTTTGACCAACTCTTTCTCAGTCATGTTGCTGATCCTTGACTCACAGATTATTTCCCTGAGTTGACAGCAGTGAAGTTCCCCAAAACCTAGTTCAATACCTTACCGTCTCAGTCTTGCACAACTTATACAGCTCTTAAGTGGCACCTTTTTTCAGTTCCTCGCTTGAGCAAGCCAATCAGGTTGTCAACATCTTACAGATCAGGGGACGCCTACTATCAAACCTAATGTCAGCAATAAGAATGATAAATATGATGTAGAGGCAGAGGTTGAGAATTGGAAAAACTTTATTAATTTCTGGATGAATAGTTAGATATTTAAGTCAGACCTTTTGTGTTTGAATCACCAGATTGAATTGCTCAGATTTACTGGCTCCTCTTCTAACAAGTCCAATGATTTTTGAATAATATACCTTAGAATGTTCTTGTAAATGTATAACTATCTTGAACTATTTTCTTTTAATTTGTACCCGTTGTAGTATTGGTTTCTGGGTCCATAAAACTGAAGGTTGGTGATTGGGTTGATCCTATGCTCCTAAGATTGAGAGCTTTTTCTTTGACCTTAGTTGTTGACACTCCATTTTGGAAGTAGTTAGTTATACATGTTAAACAATTCAGGATTGATTTAAATTACAGGAAGGAAATGTCTGTATATTTGCTGCAAAGTTATGAATGTGCTCATTTAATAGGTAGGAGTTTCGGGAAATGCAGAAGAGGAAGCAGGAAATGAATATTAAAACTTGCTTTAATGAAATGAGAAAGAAAGTTGCATCTAATGAGGACATATTTAAACTTTCTCCATATTGTAGCTGATTGGTGTCCGTGAGATAATTGATGAGAAAGTGCTAGGGGCTATGGAGGATTTCAGTATGCGAAAACATGTTATGGATTGTTATTGTAGCAAGATAGAAACTAAGAATGGTCACATTAAATTGCTCTTATCGGGTGATCAACGGTATTTGCATAGGTTTTGTTGAATCGCTTAACTTTGTAACTTTGTGCTTCCTAACTGTTCTCTTTTTAAAAAAGTTTCCATACCACATCAGTTATTTGTATGCAATGAACACTATAGCGTAAAATTAAAATGTTTAGATGCACAATAATTAGTACTTGAGTTGTTTATTATATATTACCTATGACATATATTTATTATGTATAAAGTATGTGTGATTGTGTAGTATATACATATAATATAACATTTTATCAAAATATTGAGCCAAATTCTTGAGATTGCTAAGAATGTAGCTTCAGAGCAAACTCAGTTGAGCTAATTAATTTAGTATATATACTAGTTACTTTGGAGGAATCATGACCTTGAAGCCATACAGTAGCTGCTTGGTTCTGTTGGATGAAGCTCAACACAGCCATGCCAAAATTGGTTGTCCTTTTTGGAGTGAGCAAATTGAGCTGTTTGTTCATTTTTTTTTTTTTTTTTTTTTTAGTGCTGGGTTTCTCATGTAGGATTTTGAGTTTTAATTATTTATCGTTTTTCCACTTGGATGTTTGTTGTTCCGAGGTTAATCATCTATTGTTTGCCCATTTGGTTTCATATGTCTGTATTCAGATCTACAGAAGATTTGTTGCAAGGAATTATTGTCTTAAAATTATCTCTACACAAACCTGGCTTTCTGGGTGCTGTTAGTTTTTTGCTAGATTGATGGTGCACTATATTTTGTCGGTCTTCTGTCTATGTCATTGTTTGACATTCTATCTGTTTTATATGTCCGTCTTTCATTTGGATATTTTCTCTCTTCAAAACTGCTGGCTGTACATATTTATTTTGCTTAATGTGTTATACAACAAAAAGACTTTGATGTAGTATCTTATGGTGTCTGTTTACAGAAACTTGTTCATGATCTTTTCCCTGTTTTGGCAGGAATGGAAAGTGATTCGGATCTGCAACCGCAGGTGACATAGCAGAGAGATGTTTCGTATTAATGATTAGCTACAAATGCTTATTTTCATATTTGGATAATAATCATAGGTAAATGTCCATTTTGATGTTAGTATTAAGAATTCTTTATAGTTTCAAAATTCTATGACAAGTTTTATTGTGCATCATCGGTTTGCATATTTGTAAAAAAATTTATTCTCTTTGGACCAGTTTTTATGTTGGAAATGTGCATTTTACAATTTTATTTCATTCTGAAGTTATGCTATTGCTGGATCCTTTTACTACCACTGAACTCTTTCTTGTTTACTAATAAAAAAATTGCTTCTCTCGTAGTACACGCCCTCGTTGCTGAGCAGAGTTTTGGTAATATTTAATACCACATTTAACGTTTCATGTTATAAATATCACGATATTTTGAGAAACATATAAAAGAAACTTATCATGGGTACAGATTCTCCTCACTGTGCGGGTGTAATTAAGCATTGTTTAAACCTGATCGAAGAAGCTAAATAGCTAAGTTTTTGCATTGTTCCCATTCATAATATTACACGATACTAATTTGATACCTTATGATAATTTGAATACGAGCCCCTTGATTGTTACTAAAACCCCAATTTGGCAATGGAGGGAATGCCGAAGATATGCCAAGGATGGTTTACCTGGCCATGGTGTTTATGTAATGTACACACATAAAACTTATGCATGAACGCATGTTATTGGGGTTTTTTTGGCTTTAAACAAATTATAAAAGTTTGATGATCAATACAACAGCTAGGATATGGCAAGCAGGCAGCAGCGCAGAAGATGAAAAGAAGTAGCCACTTACAATGGTACTTACACTACATGATGCAAGTCATCATGATTGTTTTCAGCTCACCATTTCTGTAGTTGAACACATAAATAAGCAACTTTTCGACAGAGATTTTGAAAACACAAGGAAATGAGATTCTATTGCATGATTCTGATACTGGAAAAGCATATCCGTACTTCAATCTGATAGGTTTCAACAATAAAAACATATACTGTATTCTTCATAATATCTTAGAAGTCCCGATGTCTAGTCATGGACAGAGGTGAGAGGTCTCGAACCAGGCTACACTGTTAGATTCAGATACAATCATCGACTTGGTGTATTGTTCTTCTCTGTTTTAGACAGGGTTTGAATTTGCATCACGTTATTGGTATGTGATATACAGACAAATCTTCATTAATGAATAGTAAATTTATCTTATTTGTTGTTGCAGAAGAATGAGGGCAATTAAGGAGGTAACCGAGGATAGCAAGTGAAGCTCTAAGCTCCTTTAAGCAGGATCATAAAAGCAACAAAATAATGCTAGATGTAAAGCGTATGTTTAAGATGGTAAATTCCTCTATTAAGTGATTCCCATGATTTTGCTTCTTGTTTCCAAGAACAATAAAAGGAGTCTCCAATCAATTCTAAGTGAATGCTATTGACTTTCTAAGCTTCATGTTTACCTATCATTCCTGTGAATCATTAGGGAGCAGGTCCAGCGGGAGTTATCTGAGCAGTCTTTTAGTTTTTCCACTCAATCCAACTGGTTCCAGGCATTTTCCTTACATCCCTGCTCTCCATTAGCTGTCTCAGCATCCCTACACCATCCCAATTGTTTAAACCAGCAAACATATTCGATAACAATACATAACTCGATGAGTCATTTCTATTGAGATTTATTGCATGTTCTGCTGCTCGCTTCCCAGTTTCAACATCCCCATGGAGCTGACAGGCAGCAAGTAAAGTCTGCCAAACCAGCACGCCTGGTTGAAACGGCAAGTTCAAGATCAATTCCTCTGCTTCTGTGATACGTCCAGCTCGGCCCAGTAGATTTACCATGCATGCATAGTGATCTTCTCCAGGGGAAATTCCATGGTCCTTAGTCATGGAAGATAAATATTTCCACCCAGCATCAATAAACCCTCCTTGGCTACAAGCATACAGCAAACAAATATAGGTGATGTAATTGGGCTCTACACCCTTCATAGTCATGTCATCAAAAATCTCAAGAGCTTCTCTAGCTTGGCCATTTTGAGCACACCCCATTATCATTGTTGTCCATGACACAACAGTACGATCATCCATGGAACGAAAAACACCCCAAGCACCATCCATGTAACCACATTTGACATACATATCAAGCAGCGCATTATCCACACAAACATCAATCTCAGAACCAAGTTTTATCCTCAACCCATGAACTTTCTTCCCCTTCTCCAAAAATGCCAAATTGGCACAGGCATTAAACGCTGTAGCAAGGGTAAACTTATTAGGCTTCACACCCTTCTTCATCATCTCCTCAACAACCTCAACTGCCTTCCCCGGTTCCCCACACTGTAAGCAGGCAGAAGCCATCTGGGTCCAACAGCACACATCTCTTTTGGGCATTTCATTAAAAACTCTAAAACCCTCCACCAATCTCTGGTTCTTTATATACATATCCACCAACGAATTCCCCACACAAATTTCAACCCCATAGCCACTCTTAACGACCAGCCCATGAACTTGCATTCCCATTTCAAGACAATTACCCACAGCCAAACCGGTCAAAACACTCGAAAAAGTGAAGTTATCAGGCTTCACTCCTTCACTAATCATGCGAAACCAGAATCCCGGAACCTCCAAATAACAATGCTGCAAATAACCACCCATCATAGCATTCCATGTCACAACATCTTTATCCAAACACTTATCAAAAACCTCCAAAGCCTCAACCATTTTACCTTTCCTTATCAAAGCCGTCAAAAATGCATTCATCAAGAACACATTCCACTCCAGTCCCAACCTCAAAATGAGCCCGAAAATTTGGTACACCCCTTTCAAACCCCCACTCTCACACAAAGAACAAGCATGTAACACACTAACAAAAGTAAACCCATTTGGCGCCGTTTCTCCCTCCAAATGCATTCGTTTAAACAATGAGAGCGCTTTCTGAGGACACCCATGTTGCACAAACCCAGAAACGACGGCAGACCAGGACACGACGTTTCGTTGAGGCATTTCGTCGAACAACTGGAGGCCACTAGTGAGGTCCCCACATTTCATGTACATGTTGAGGATGTGATTGTGGAGGAAGAGGGAATAGGGAACGTAGCGTTTTATGAAGCTGCCATGAATGGCTGCTCCATGACGCAAGCGTGAGGATTCGATGCATTTTTGTAACAAGTTAGAGACGAGTTGCTCTGAGTTTAGTGATGATGAAATGTGCCTTGTGAAAACATAATAAGGCAGTAGTACCCTTGTGCTTGTCAAAGTAGTTATACAGATGATACGGTACATCTGTTTACTCTAAGAATTCTCAAGAAAACAATACCAAAAAGTTTTTCTCATATCTATTATCGGTATATTCCTCTCATACTGAACAAATATACAAATAATATCTATCAAAACTGGTGTTACTTAGATTGTATCAAGATTTTCATAGTGAAGTAAACTTGTAGCAAACTGGTGTTATGATAAACGGAATCACTGTCTTGATGCATTTAATATAGGAAATGATATTTATTAGTGTCAAGTTGGATACGAACTGTATCTTTTGACACAGGATCTTCCCTCTGACTACAGTAATCTGTAGGCTTGCAGAATAAAAACACACAAAAACCATTATACCATGGTTTTCATTGTGAAGTTGTATCAATTGCTACTACAATTCCAAATAATATATCAGAGGGCTACACAAGTAAACAAAATCATGCATTTTGACAGATCAAGTTCAAGAGATGAACACATAATTACTAGAACATCGTGATTCGGAATCCATACTAGGCAGAATTAACCAGTAATCTAAAGTTAATCTGTACATTGATTCAAAGCAAACTTAATGTTGTTTGCAGACAGAAAACATTCATCAAAAGCTGTTGCATTTGTCATAGCTAGTGAGCTATCAAGCCAAAGCATAAACTGATGTGTTCTATAATGCTCATCAAAATTGTAAAAAGGATAAAGACTAGAGAAGCAAAAACTCAGTTCTGCTATCCACTAAGCCCAACTTAAAGGCACGAGACTCAGAGAATATGGAAGAACGATAGGATTGAAAGTGGAACAAGTACCCATCTCATTCTGTCCACAGACTTTCTTCATCTTGTTTGTGTTGACATGATAGAGGTAGATGTTGGTGCACACCCTCATCAATACGTACCCGTCTTTAAAGGCCAAGGGATCCATCCATGGAGTTGAATCAGCTAGTCGCTGTGTCACTCTCACCTGTAAGTTGCACAGGAATTCTGGATGTTCTTCTTCCATTGCATCAAGACTTTTTGAGTGTTTAAGCGTCCAATGGAATTCAAAATAGTCCTCCAAACACCAAACATGAAATCCATTTTCAGAGACCATGACATAATGTAGCTTACCATCAGATTCCCCTATACATGCCTCAGGGACGCTATCTAGTGTTGCAGCAGAAATTGGGACTGAAATCAACCAAGATAGCTCATTTTCAATGTTGAATGTGAGGATTTCATCACCATTAGTCAACCAATGTAAGATCCCTCCAATAAGAGTGCCTTTGTTCTTGTACAATCTATCATTGCATAGACAAATCTCTTTCGATGTCCTCCAATCACCAGTATCTGAAGAGTATATGTCAAATGAGAAGTAAAAATCCTCAGCTCCAGCCTCACATTGTTGCACTTGAACCAATTTAAAGTTAGTTGAATGGCCAATAGGTTCTCGACATGGATCAAAAACTAGAGCAATGCTGGTTTCTTTATCAGCTTTGGTCCAATCCAGCCTGATCCATTCTCTGTTCAATGGATTGCACACATAGATGGATGGATCTTTAAAAGGGTAGCAACTCCTCAAACAGACCAGCCCATTGCATGATGCCATCACTACAACATCTTCGGGGAGAAACCTAAATACTCTCTGCTGCAATCCTTCAGATTCAACAGGGATATGATTAATAGTTTTGATATCATCTAAGCACCAGTGGAACCTGTGCTGGAAGAAGAATCCAAATATTGGTTCTCGCTGTTGTGACTGAGACTTGATGAAAAGACGGTCAGATAGAAGACGATGCCATCCTTTGCAAACACACTTTAATCCCAACAAACATTTTGTTGGCAACCGGGACAACACTTCGAAGAAGACGTCAGTGTTCAAGGACCAGAAATTATGCATTACCTGAAATATAGAAACAAGTCAGCATATCAAATGTGAAAAGACATTTTGCAGCGAAACAGAAGAGAAAAGTTACAAGAATTGATTCATAATAAAGCAATGAGTGATAAACACTCTATTATGAAGCATCTAAAGAAACATTCATCAATCTAAATACAAACTCATTCAAATTTCATCCAACCAAACACAAATTTCAATTCCAACAACTTAATAAAACGGAGATATACCAAGAATAGTTTTGCATCAAACCCACAAAGAAAACTTTCAAATAAATGAAAAGGAATAGATTTTCGCTTGACATACTGACATTAATTTTACTTCTCTGTAATAATGTTCCTCAGTTTGCTTTTTGGGTTTTCTCTTTCATTTCCCACCAAAAAAACAAAGCATAGTCCTTGAAACGAGTCCTCTGCTTCAAAACAACCAAAGCTAAGATTACAAATTCACTTTAAAAAGAAAAAAGAAAATAAACAACAAAGAACCCATTTGCCATTTTCTGAAAGCTGGTTTTATCCGAGAATTTTGAAAAATGCTGATATCTTTAAGCCCTTTATAATTTATTTATTTTTTGTTTTCTCTAACATTTTCTGGCTATCCAACCAAACTCATAACATTTACAAAAAGAAGTATCTAGTAACACAAAAAGAAACTCTCAATCTTCTTCATGAGCTTTGTTCTCAATTACCTGGACGGAAATCCTCAAGGAGCTCTGCTAGCTAACAAGAAACACCAACCCAGTGCCCAAAACACAAAAACTTAGAAACTTACTTCTCTGATTTCTCTGCAAAAACTTTCAGTGAGTGTGTAAAGTAATTTTTGAAGCAGTTCTTCTTCGTCTATGTAGTCTTCGACACAAGAATAAAAATGGAGTTCGGAGACTGGTGGAGGAGTGTAGACTGCCTGCTGCATGTTAAACAGTGGATTATCAAGGAATACTATGAGACACGTTCTTGACCTGGGCCCATGGGTGGTCCAGGCTGGAGATGGTGTTGGGGCGGGCTCACTGTGGGGACGTCTTCTTGTTATGGGTAGACTGCAGTTTTTGGAAGATGCTGGGCAGGCTTAAAGTCATCTCCTTGTATAGCTTTCGCTTTTATTTTTGCCAAGGCCTGGTTTTTTGATGGGCTTTATTTGTATGGGCTTGTAAGTCCTAGTGTATATCGGCCTGCTTTATAGTGGGCTCTTGGGCCTCACTCCTCGAGTGTATTCTTTTTATTTTTTCTTCAATACAATTACCGGGATTACCCAAAAAAAATGTTGTCCATTTTCATGCATGAGAACGGGTTAGACAATCATGCCAACACTCTCAAATGACGGAAACTAAAAAGACTTTAGCTATAGCAATTGGTCTTTTATCATATTTTTGTCAATGGTCGTATAATCAAACAACTATGATGTGATCATATTATTTATATTTAACCACGCTCAAAAGATTTTCACTTGATATATCATCAATCAAATCATTTTTATCGAGTCATGTAACACGTCGCATTAATTAATTTATATCTTAATTATCAATCAAGAGAATAAAAATGCTTTCTTTTCAACAACCATGGTTACAAAATTAGGTATCTAATAATTAAAATTAAAGTCTTAATAACACATGAACTACATAGTGTAGGCCAAAAACTCTACAAAGAAATGTTTAGTCATATATGTATAAACAACCCCATAATAGTTAACCATATGAATTATAACCAAAACACCATATTTGGTAATTTAAACATTATTATGTTACATTAAAAATAAGAGTTAATGACATTAATTCTCGTTAAGTATGATATAATAAAAAAAATCCTCTTGAGGTTTTTGAAATAATAGAATTTTTTCTATTGTCAATTAATAGTTAGTGAAACCGTTAAAATTTACAATATTAAGAGTTAGTAAATTTTGCCAAATTGTCCTCTTTTAGGCTAATTTTAACATTTAAAGCTTAACGATAGAGGATTTCTTTTACTTCAAAAACCTTAAGGGTTTGCTTGAGAGCTTTTTTTCTCCTGGTTTTGAGGGGTTTTTAATTAGACTAGTTTTGAGGTGTTGTAAAACCATTATTTGCCAGATTTTGTACGCACTGGTTTTGACTGGCTCAAAAACCCCCCAGAACTAGTGTAGTGTATTTTTTAGGGGTATTAATGTTTGTTTTAAAAAAATATTCTACAAATACCCTATCCACTAAAAAACTATCCCAATTATATCCAAAAAAGAAAATTTTAACCATATTATGTGCGTCTTCAACAATATTAAATATAAAATAATTTTAAGCAATCAAAAAAAAAAAAAAAAATTTATTAAAATCTCATTTCTAGATGCTTTCTTGGAGAAGTGGAGCTATAATTTTTCAATCATTATAGATGCTGCAAAGAATGACGAAAAAGGATAAAGGGACTTATCACATTTAAAGTTATAAAATACTAATAAGTAGAAAACAAATAAAGAACTCTTACCTTGTAATTGAAAAAACAAAACTCTCGATAATTGGTTGAAGTTGGGTTTTTTTTTATGGGCATATATGTAAATTTTTTATTTTAAAAAACTGTCAGAATCGCTAGAAAATAAACTTCCAAACATAGATTGGATGTTTTAAAAATTATTATTAAAAATCTCTCCAAACTGCTGTCATAAAACTCTCCAACGGAATGGAATTTTGTTATTATATTATAGTCGGAGGAGATGTAAAGAGAAATATTTATAAACAGTGATCGCAATCATATAACTTGCGGGGATAGCTCAGTTGGGAGAGCGTCAGACTGAAGATCTGAAGGTCGCGTGTTCGATCCACGCTCACCGCAAATAACTTTTCGTTTTTCGCGATTCTTGCGTTTTCTCTTCAGGTGTATTTTTTGCGTTCCCCTGGTTATGTTTTGTCTCATTTTCATTGAGGCTCCATTTGAATCCACTCGCATATAAATTAAACCACTAAAAACAAATTAACTAATGGCTTCACGAGGAGCAAACGCGTTGCTATCCCGAGCAATTAGAATCGAAACCAAGTTAAAATCCTTACTTGAACCAACCGTTTTAGAGATCGATGACGTGTCCCACCAGCACGCCGGCCATGCCGCCGTTAAGCAAATGGGAGCAGCCGGGGAAACCCATTTCAACCTGAAGATTGTTTCGCCGAAATTCGATGGTTTGAGCCTCGTGAAGCGCCACAGAATGGTGTATGACGCTTTATCTGATGAACTTCAGTCTGGATTGCATGCGCTCTCTATCGTTGCAAAGACTCCACAAGAAGTTTCCCACAAATAGTTTTTGAGTTTTGAGGGGTTATCAGCGAGGTTCCGAACTTGAAACTGAGAATTTAGTTTGATATCAGTTAGTGAGATTACCTGTTTGATGAATTGCCTCACTGAAATGATGCCTTGATTCTCTGAGTGCTTAATGTTTGTTCATTTGTTGGCTATTACATATTTTGATGTTTCTAATGTGTTTTATGGGTCACGGTACAGTCTGGTAACGTTAATTGACCAATATTGTCGTTGCAAGTACCCATGTTTTTGTTTCTAGTAATATTGTTTTAGTGATGATTAAATAAAAGGGGTAATTGAACAAATAGTTTACATGTAATCAAAATATTGCCTTCTGGGTGAAAAAGTTGGTCCGGTAATGTTATTAGGCTGGTGCTGGTAGCAAACACTTGTGTTTATCCTATTTTGCTTGCTACATTGAAGATGCTGGATCAGTAAACAGTAATGTTAGTAGAATGGATATTTTGTAACGTGGAATGTTATACTTTTAATATTTATGAAAGTTAAATGTGTAATTCATATTGGTTGTGTGGACGTTTCATGGTAATGTTTCATTGTATGAGTGTGAAGATCTTGCGAACTATCTATCAAAGTAGCATTAGCTTTGCAGTAGCATAGCGAATCTTGTGGTTTGGTTTGTTAAGTTTTTCCTTCTGTTGTCCCTACTTCTGTCATTTCATTCCTTGAAGATGCTATATTCTGGTCTAGACAATTTTGAGCTCTTTCCTTGATTGCTTCAACCCTTTTTTCTTTTTTAATATTGGGCTGCTTCTTTCTCTCACTCAGGCACACATCAATAAGAGTTATAAATGTAAATGGTGGCTGTCTATATTATTTTCTTGTTGAGAAGCATAAGAATTTCAATTGGGCGTGATTTATTATCTTTCAATCTAGCAACTTCTTATAGTCTTCCTACCAGCAGATATTGATATGTTTTTTCATAAGTCTCATAATGGAACTATGTTATGCAAATTTATACATATTTTCTCATGATTCTGGGCCAAAATTAAATGGTAAACCATTTGAGGTATCCTTGAAACCATAATAACAAGTGTAATTTCTCAGTTTATTGTAGAGTTATCATGTAAAATAGATGATCGTAATTATATAACCGTAGATATCTATTTTACAGTGATTTGGTTTGAATGGAACATGAGTTATTTTGCATGTGTTGTAATTTGACTTTTAATGTTATTTTTTGTACTTGTTCCTGCATGTGATCTCAAAGTTGTTGCCTTGTTTTACAAAGGCAAATGACTATGCTCTATTATATGTGTAGTGAGGTTGAGTGATTTGATTCAAGTTAAACGTGTGAGAAATATAGGCAATGTTGATTTTTCTTCCCATTTCGGTTTCGTGGGAAGACTAAAAAATGCAGAACAAGAGAGTTAAATAAGTGTTTGTATTGAGGCTGTTGGAAAAGACATTTGTAATCACTTAAGATAAATGGTAGAATACGAACTATAGTGTTTAGCTTAGTTTAAAAATTTGCATTTTTTTTTTTTTTTTGCTACGAAATAGAGAAGAGAATATAAACAAATTTAGAAAGACAACTCTCAATCTATGCAATAGGAAAAAAAGGATATGCTGATTACAATAGAAACAAAAATGGGCAATCTGTCGTGAAAAGCCTGAAAGGATTGCACAACCTATGAAAAATGAACAGTATAGAGACTCATAATGAACGAAAATAGGTCATATGATGAATGAAGAAATAAGAGACTGACTTTATTTTTTTTTTCTTTTCGTATGACACTTACAAATGTGTATATGGTTAACATAGCTCTGATTTGAACTGCTTGGTATGAGAAGATAGATGAAACCTTATTTGCCATTCAATTTTTTCTAAGCTCATAATTTTAAATAGTAAGTGATCATGTCCCCTCTCTTACCATCTTGGTTGATAATTTACTCTTGCCCTTGCACTGCATTCAACTTGAATGAACCTCTCCTTTTTTACTGATGTTGCCATAGTCTTCTGTTTCATTACTTTGAATTTACTTCATCTTGTGCACATCTTATTAATACATTGTTTTTGTCAAACTCCTTAATAAATGCATGATCAATGATTTGTGTGAAAACCAATATTATGCTGAAAACATGTTTTGTGCTAGACTCAAAACATAATGTTGATGCGCCAAAAAGCACTTAAATTTGAAGCATTATTTAGAATTAATCAGTTTTGCGAATTAAGCTTCTGATTGGAAATTGAAATGTCAGATTAGGAATGATGGGCACTTTTAAATTCATTCCCAGACCTTGAACACAAAAAATGTCCATGTTGGCAACTCAGAAATGTGCTTTTAGAAGGAATAAATTCTTTTATACTCTTTCCTTTTTACTGTCACAAGCATCTGGGAATTCTTTCTGTGGCATATCAATAAATAGACCAGAGTGGATTATACTTTGTGACTGTCTCTACTCTCTGCAAGCTCACATATTATAATTAACAAAACAGAATACAGCAGGGCAACTAATGATGGCTCAATGTTGCAGCATGCTATATCCTTGAGATGGAAGATGAAGCAAGCCAGCTTTGGGAGTGTTGGCTTCACTGACATCGGCAACCCGGAACCGGCATATAAACAGTTGGGTACATAATGGCTGTTTCTCTTCAACATTAATGATGTCTATTATTTATGTTAGTTTATTGGTCAGAAATTGAAGACAGGAATTATACAACTGATCAAACATGTTTCACTGCTTGTGGAGATTAATAATGCCTAGTAATGGAGATATTCTTTCTTCAAGTATTTAACTTTTGCTTGGTTTATAATTAGTTGTATTAGTTTGATCAAACTTTATTATAAAATTATGGCTCGGAATTAGGTTTATTTTTCTTTTTATATTTCTGTTTTTTTTAATATATAAATTATGAATTTGGGATTTTATTATTATTCCTCTCTTCTTCCCATTTCTACTGGGGTTACAAAAATCAATCCCTAATTTCACTGTACATTATACTTAAGAAAATTCAATACTTAAGTTTCAAAATTCTCTTAAATTTTTTTTTTTTTATGAATTCTAATTCAAATTAATTTTATCATAACTTGCAGATATATACATAAAGATACTAGATAATATATCAGTTGAATTATCTGATAATATGATCGAACTACTATTATTAATTATAAAACATTATATGATGATGGAATTGGAGATTTCTGCAACATGTGAAGGCCAACAATTAAAAGATTTTGAGGCATTTTTANTACATAATGGCTGTTTCTCTTCAACATTAATGATGTCTATTATTTATGTTAGTTTATTGGTCAGAAATTGAAGACAGGAATTATACAACTGATCAAACATGTTTCACTGCTTGTGGAGATTAATAATGCCTAGTAGTGGAGATATTCTTTCTTCAAGTATTTAACTTTTGCTTGGTTTATAATTAGTTGTATTAGTTTGATCAAACTTTATTATAAAATTATGGCTCGGAATTAGGTTTATTTTTCTTTTTATATTTCTGTTTTTTTTAATATATAAATTATGAATTTGGGATTTTATTATTATTCCTCTCTTCTTCCCATTTCTACTGGGGTTACAAAAATCAATCCCTAATTTCACTGTACATTATACTTAAGAAAATTCAATACTTAAGTTTCAAAATTCTCTTAAATTTTTTTTTATGAATTCTAATTCAAATTAATTTTATCATAACTTGCAGATATATACATAAAGATACTAGATAATATATCAGTTGAATTATCTGATAATATGATCGAACTACTATTATTAATTATAAAACATTATATGGTGATGGAATTGGAGATTTCTGCAACATGTGAAGGCCAACAATTAAAAGATTTTGAGGCATTTTTAGAGAGGGGTTTATGAATTAAAAAAAAAAAAAAAAAAAGTGGAACAGTTGGCTGAATGATGAGATGTAATGGGGAAAAAGCTAGAAACAGAAGCAACCCCTTCTGCAACGATAAGCTTTAATGCAGTTGGAACTTCCCGCCAAAATTTTTATAAAATAAAAATTCCCATCCATGAGTTGGCAAATAGATCTCCTCGATCTTTTTTTTTTTTTTTTCTAAGTCCAAACAATTAGATAAGTTATAATATTATTGTAGTAAATAACCTTAAAATTTGAATAAAAAAACTCAAAGAAAGGAACAAATCTTATATGTTATGAACCCTTTTTTTTTACTTTTAGTAATCTATAACAATGTCTTGATATCATATATTTAAATTCATATAATATATAAAATAAGTTTTGATATGACAGAAAATGTATTAAGAGATTTCCGATTGATATTTGATATATACTGTATAAAAATATCATAACATGATCTTGTAATATTATCGATTTTCAGTAATTTTTAATGTTCATTTAATAATTAATGATAATAATAATGTGTGTGTTGTGGCAATGATGTTGTAAAGTTCCAAAGCCAGTAGAAAAGCCGCGAATTTGTAGGGTTAATTTAACGGTTTGTTCTTTCCTTAGAATGAGTTGAGCCACATAAACTACAAATAGTCATCCAGATAGTCTTCCACACAGCTTTCTTCCTTATTTTGGCTGCCTTCATTTTGACCCTGTTTCTTGTTTTCAATATCCCATTTTCAAATTTCCAACTTCCTTTTTTACTTGTTTTTTTTCTTTTTCTTTTTAATTACTCTTTTTTTCCTTTAAGAATCAAAAGCTAAGTCTCCGGAGGCAACCACCATGAACGGCAAGGCCTCCGTCTCCAAGGAGCTTGATGCCAGGCATTCCAAGGTTCTTCTCTCATCTGGGTTGTTGTTAGTGAAATGATTTGTTCATGCTCTTTTTAATAGGTTTTTATATGTGTGTTTGTAAAATCTTTAATGGGTTCTTTCATGCTTGTTTATTTATAAGCATTGATGATATTGTAGGCTTTTTATAATGCCTTTTTTGTGTTTGTTTTAAGTTTTTGGGGTTTACTAATTACTTAACATGGTATCAGAGTACGCAAGTATTTAACATTTGTGTTAGTATTTTTGCATATGTGAAATCTTTGGATTCATGTTATATGTGAAAGGAGTTTTAGAGCTTAAATAGTGTATTTGGATTCTTACATCTTAGTTTAAGTTTTTGAATTTAGTGGGTTTGTAGCAATTAGATGGTTTTGATGGTAGTATTTTTGCAGTTGCATTTACTTGTTTTGTTATTGTTTTATGCAGATCTTAGAGGGTCTTCTTAAGCTACCAGAAAATAGGGAATGTGCAGACTGTAAGAACAAGTATGCATTTCAGACCTCTCTTATGATGTTTCGGATAATTGAAAGATTTTATTTTAAAGTAGTACGGCTCCTCCATTTTCTAATAATATGCTTAATCTGGCTGTTTACATTCTGATAGCTTCTGTGAACTTACAATCTTGCTTCTGTGTAGTTGTTGCTAAAACATTTTAAATGCTGGAATAGAGTGTTACTGTTGGAAGTGATTTAGAAGAAATTTGAGACTTTTCATATATAAGTAGGAATTCAAGCAGAGATGATTGCTTATTGCTTACCATAGAATGATCAAACAGCACGGCTTTTCATTATGGGAATGTACTTATTTCAGGGCACCACGATGGGCAAGTGTGAACCTGGGAGTATTTATATGCATGCAATGTTCTGGAATCCATCGGAGTCTTGGAGTGCATATTTCAAAGGTGTACAATTTTTATTGTCTTTTCATATTTTGCTTCATATCAACTCCTTGTAAAAGTTCTTAAACAATGCCTTCAACTATAATTCGCAAGAAACTTCTTGTGGAACTTATATCAGTTTTTGTCAGATTGTTCAGATACATCTTAGTATCCAAGTTTGATATCAATAAATGTAAATTTTTTTTCCTCTTAAAAAGATAGCTGGATATTTGGTTATTCAAAGTGAAGTACCTATATATAGCTACTTGTCACTTCAAAGTTTTGGACTTCTTCCATCATGCCAACTCTAGTGACCAATGCTTATGAGATGGTTATGACGTAGAACTAATAAAGGAATAACAAATATTTTGAAAATTGAGTCACGAAATAGATCCAAGTATGCTAGAGTAGATCAGCGGTGGTGTGGGAATGATGAAATAACAATTAAATGCATCATCCTGTGATCAGTTTGTGGAGCTTATATCCCATATTTTTAAAATAAAATGGAATAATATAAAGTAAAAGAGGTCATGTTGCACTGATAGAGATAATATTTTCTGAGATGCTAATTACCGTGTCATTATTGAATTCACTGGTGTCTATTTGAGAGTTGTTCAAGTTGCTCTTGACAAATCTGAAATATGAAAAAGTATTGCTGTAGTGAGCCAAGTCATAGTTAAAAGTCTTTGCTGGGAAAGGTGAGTATGCCATTTTCTTCGTATCATAGGCTGTAGAAATTTAACGATCATTACTTGCTTTGAACTTGGAAAAGAAATCCAAATAATGGTTTCCAACTGTGTTGATACTTGTTTATTGAAGTTTCATTGTCTCCACATTTCTTCTTTACTTAAAAAATAACTCCTTAGATGCTTTTGAATGCCAACTCTTGGTTATCCTTTCCATTTTAATGCACAATGTGTGACATTATATAAAGTTAGTTGCGCATGATTTGTATTCTTGGAACAGTTTTATATGGCTGGGAGAACCAAAAGTGCTGATGGGCATCAATTCTCTCAGTTTCATTATGATCATGATCTTGATATGCCACCACTCTTAAAAATATATTTGGATGAATACTTCTTTTTGTATTGTCACTTCTGCTGTGCTGATGATAGCCTGACCTTTTTTATTCTGGAAATAGGTACGATCTACTACTCTCGATACATGGCTACCGGAGCAGGTTGCTTTTATGCAGTGTAAGAACCCAAGTGGTTTAATGTGAGTTTAAAATATAAAGCACCCCGTATAGGACACAACATGATAAATTCCTTTGATTCAAAGCAAGTTTATGTTTCTACGGATTAATGCAGTGAACCAAATGAGTCGGCCCCTTAGACTATCAAGAATCCAGGGTTGGACTGACTAATCCGTGATTTTTTATTTTTTCAATTTTCCCATTTAACAAATAATCTAATTTTGTTGGCCATTGACTACATTTTTCCATATTAATAATAGTTTTATACTTGCTTATTTGTTCTATAGCTATAGGTAATGAGAAGTCGAACAAGTTCTGGGAGGCAGAACTACCACTGAATTTTGACAGAAGTAGAATTGAGAAATTTATCCGCACTAAGTACATTATCAACTGAAGCTTATGATTTATCAAACGAACTTGAAGACACCATTGGTTAATATCATCTTCTACTAATTATACTATGGATTTTACAGGTATGAAGAGAAAAGATGGGCTCCAAAGGGAGAAAGAGAACCAGCTGCAAAAACTGCTGAAACGAACCATAACATTAACAAGTTCTCAGAAGGTGTCAAANCTGATCGCTTAAGCGATCTGCTACCATATACCAAACTTATACCAGATCGCTTAAGCGATCTTCTGTCATATACCAGATCGCTTAAGCGATCTGATACCATATACCAAACTTATACCAGATCGCTTAAGTGATCTTCTGTCATATACTAGATCGCTTAAGTGATCCATCAGATCCAAAACACATTTTCAGCCATCTCCACCTACAATCGGTCCATCATACCCAAAACAAATTTTCAACAAATTTCACTCCTTTCAACTTGCATTACATCAAACACAACCCAACAACCTAAACAACTAAATCAAAATCATAACCCAAACTCCATCCATTATTAAATCTTTGTAAATCTAAATATAAAATGTAAAGAGGAGATACACATACTTACACAAAATGTTAGGAGGAGGAGGAGGGGGATCTTTGGCGGAGAAGATGTTAATGGTGGAGGAAGAAGAAAATGTTAATGGCGGAGGAACAAGAATATATAGAGGAATGAGGAAGAAGAAGATGTAGAGGAAGGAGGAAGAAGAAGATGTAGACGAAGCTAAGAAGAAACAGCAACCAAGGTGGAGATGCGTTAATGGCGGGAGGAAGAAGAAAGTGTTTGGGTTTGTTTGCAAGAATTTCGGGTTTTTGGGAATTTGCAAGAATTTCGGGTTTTTGGGAATATATTATAATTTTTAAAAGATTACATAATACTTTATTAATCCTAATTAAGCACTAATCAAGTTTAATTACCCTTAATCAATAATATGGCTATTTAGTAAAATTTTAAAACTTGATAGCCTTTTAATTAAATTCAAACTTGAAAGGTTGTTTTAATAAACTACCCCGCTTGCTAAGCATTCACCTTTCGTCTTTATATATTTTTTATTTACAATTTCTCTTAATTACAATTGAAAATGGTGGCTTAATATAAAATTGGTGGGGGCTATTTAGCGTCACTCTTTTTTGATGGACACTACTTTAAATACCATTATGATCGGAATCGGACACAAGGCGAGAGATCTATACTGTATATCGCAATATTGTTTGTCATTTTAGCCTAGCCTAGCTTCTTTGGACGAGACTACAATCCGTCCAAGAAATATAGCAGCATTTGGTTCCATTGCGAGTAATATTACTTGCACTATAACTAGAAGAGAAATATGAGTTGATTTGGTGTTGATATTTGCATCTGTTAAAGGTGTCTTCAAACTTTATAGAGGTCAACCACCATTGGATGATCGTGTGGTTAACTAGAAATTTTTGATATATTATTTAAGAGGTCCTGAGTTCAATCCATCTGTGTTGTTAATAGGGGTGGTTATTGGAGGGATTTAACTAGTTGTCAACTTCAGGACCTTGGAGGATTAGTTAAGGTGCGCACAAGCTGACCCGGACATCCTTGGTAAAAAAAAAAAAAAAAAAAATTTATAGTCTTACACTAGTTGGATTGCATTCTCGTTTCATATCTGGATGGATTTTGGGAATCTTATTCTATTAAAATGAGCATCATTTTGTTAATCTTATTTTTCCTCACTTTGATAACTAAGAATTAGTCACATAATTACTTTTACTGTTTCTAAGCTTTAAATTGTATTATATAGTTTTTAATATATTCCAAAAAGAATATAAGTGTATCTGTTACGGGATCTAAGAGAAATAATTTTACTTTGCCACATTCTTAAGTGAGGATAATGTGTTAGCATGTCTATCAGTTCAGAGACTCTCTTCACGAATTTCTTGATTTTTCTTTTGTGGTTTCATTACATGTATTTTAGGGGTTTGCATATTAAAGACCATATTCCCTTTGCAACAATTGGTAGATTTGAACATGGTCATTGCTTCACCTATGCTGCCACCACCGTTGAGAGAACTCAATACACTTGCAACAAAGATGAACGAAGCATCTGAATTTTGCAACTTGCTTTATGTCAACAACGGTAACAAGGATCATTCTATTGTTCCTTCATTATGCTGGCCGACTTTCAATTGTAAGACAACTACTTGCATCAAACATGCTATGTTTTCTCTCCATTGAGTTCTTCAAACATTTTGATACTATATAGTAGACACCGATGGAAGCACCATAAAACTTACGAAGTAATTTAGGTTGATAGAAGGAAAAAAAAAAGATTACCAAGCTTAAATGGAACTAACCCGCGATAAGAAACACACTTTATTCACAATATATAATACTTCTGACTTTATCAGTGAATTTGTGGTTGCAGGAGGAGATTGTTAGACTTAGGCCATATGCAACAACGGGACAAGGATCATTCTATTGTTCCTTCATTATGCTGGCCGACTTTCGATTGTAAGACAACTACTTGCATCAAACATGCTTAGGTTTTCTCTCCATTGAGTTCTTCAAACATTTTGATACTATATAGTAGACACCGATGGAAGCACCATAAAACTTACGAAGTAATTTAGGTTGATAGAAAGAAAAAAAAGATCACCAAGCTTAAATGGAACTAACCCGCGATAAGAAACACACTTTATTCACGATATATAATACTTCTGACTTTATCAATGAATTTTGTGGTTGCAGGAGCAGATTTTTCAGACTTAGGCCATGGAACTAATAGAGATATCCAACTAGCAGTTGCATAGAAGTCACTAAGTTTACAAACTCAAGTCAAAATTGCATTGATAGCAACAAGAATTGGCTGCTTTGCACTCGTTTCAGATCATAGTATGTTGAACAATCTTTCAAGATTATTGTGCATTAATAAGTAGAACTCATTATTTACACTTTGTGAGGCTCTTCGGTCTGTCTTCAACTGTTGAGCAAACTTGTTGGTATGCCATTGGAATCAAGTTAAATATATCACTTCGATTCCATTGTTTTAAAACCTAAACTGGAGGACAATCCGATCTGCTGCCCGAGTCACGGGTCGATTGGTCAAACCGGTTAGATCGATGACATCATCATACTAACATCAGCATGATGACATCAACACTTCCAAAAAAATCTAGATTTTTTATTTTTGAACAAGTTTCAAATTTTCAATAACAGCATAATTACATCACCAACATAATTCAAACTCAATAACAATCCAATCATGATTTAACAACAATCCCAACATACAATATAATATGTTATAGCAACAAAAAAAAAATTATAATTGACAAAAACTTTTGTAGATTACAACATGCTTGAAATGCGGAATTAGAATGCTATTCCAAAAGGCACCTTAGCTTTTAATTTAAGCATTATATCTCTTTATTCTCAGGTTTGGGCAAATCTGGGTTATTCAACCAGAGGGAGAAAACACAAATAATATGATTACCTTCAAAGTATCTTCCAGATTTGAGTAAAATAATTCTGTAACTTCCAATCAAAACAAAACTTCCAAATCTGGAGGATTCTGCCAAAAAAGAAAAAATCAACTTCCAATCAAATAATTAAAAAAATACTTCTGAATCCAAAAAAAGAGAATGAAATAAACCAGATGTATCTTCAATTGTCATTGTCGTCGATTTCGAGCGAGGGAGAAGGTGTCGTGGTCATCGTCGAGTAAGGAGGGAGGCGTCATCATCGTCGTTGAGCAAGGAGGGAGGCATCATCATCGTCGTCGTTGTGGAGCAAGGAGGGAGGCGTTGTCGTCGAGCAAGGAGGGAGGCGTCGTCGTCGATTTCCAGCGAGGGAGGGAGGTTTCGTCGATTTTAGAGAGTGGAGTTGTGATTGAGACAATGGTTGTGATTTCAAACTTCAGAGAGTGAAATTGATTGAGATTGAGGGGTGATTTCAAAGAGTGGCTGCGAATTTTAGAGAGTGGCTACATAGAGAAATTGAAAATTGAATACATTTAGGGCTTTTTTTTACTTGGTAATTAGTGAACTGGTTTATCAAGCGGTCCGATTGGATCGGGTGATTTAAATTGTTCACCCGGTTTAATGGTGAGCTAAAGCGGCTTTTCAAGTATAAACGGGTTTTATATTAACCCGGACCAGACACACAATCGGGTCTCGGTCGAACCGGTTGGACCGGCCGGTCCGATCCGGGTTTTAAACATCGTTCGATTCTTCTCATTGATTAATTGCTAGGATCTCATGGGTTGTATAACATTATACTGAAGAGTAAGGTCTTGTCAATATGTCTTCTTTCCATCTCCATCTTTAGCCTATCCACATTTGATTTTCACACATTTTTATTTCTATGTGCGTCCATGATTACACGGTTTGTTTTTTATTAGGCTTTCTTATCAATTGCTGGGGTATAGGGATATATTTCAAAGGTTTTAGGAGTACCAAAATTTGTAAGAAAGTTGGTATCTTTTAAGGCAACACAAGTCCTCTGGTATGCCCAATGCACACAAGAATTTGTAAAGGAAATCCTGCTTGAATATTGGTATTTATCAACTAGCTTTCTCTAGCCAGTAATTCAGTACTTTAAATACTATTATGATCGCAAACGGACACGGGGCAAGAGGTCTATATTGTGTATCGCAACATTGTCATTTTGGCCTAGCCTAGGTTCTTTGGACGAGACTGCGATCTATCCAAGAAGTACAGCAGCATCTGGTTCCATTGCGGGTTATATTACTTGCACTCTAACTAGATGAGACATATGAGTTGATTTGGTGTCGGTATTTGCATTTGTTGAAGGTGTCTTCAAATTTTAAAGAGGTCTTACACTAGTCGGACACTGCATTCTCGTTTCATATCTGGATGGATTTTGGGAATCTTCTTCTATTAAAATGAGCATCATTTTGTTAATCTTATTTTTCCTTACTTTGATAACTAAGAATTAGTCACATAATTACTTTTACTGTTTCTAAGCTTTAAATTGTATTATATAGTTTTTAATATATTCCAAAAAGAATATAAGTGTATATGTTACGGGATCTAAGAGAAACAATTTTACTTTGCCACATTCTTAAGTGAGGATAATGTGTTAGCATGTGGTTTCATTACATGTATTTTAGGGGTTTGCATATTAAAGACCATATTCCGTTTGCAACGATTGGTAGATTTGAACATGGTCATTGCTTCTCCAATGCTGCCAC